TTTAGAAGTCAAACTTCCGACACTATGGACAGATGAAAAGCAGAGAGGGGAAGAGTCAGAGAGAAGAGATGAGTAGAAGAGAGAAGATGAGAGAAGAGAAAGAGTCAGAAGAAAGAAGATGCAGATGCGCGAAAAGGTAGGAAAGTCGCGAAACACTGTGTTTTTTCGATGATTTGAGGCTCCGGAGGGTCGAAAAGTAGGCTCGCTAAAGCGGCGGGTGCGGAGCCATCTGGCCAAATGAGCGATGAAAAAGTGCACGCCGCTGTGGCACGAAGCACATTTGGAAGCCAAAATGTTCAAAACACACTCTTCTCGGACCACTTTTGGACGTTGAGATGTCGAAAAAGTGCACGCCGTTGTGGTGCGAAGCACATTTCGAAGTCAAAATGTACAAAGCACACCAGCTCCGGACCACTTTTGGAAGTTGAGGTGTCGAAAAAGCGCACGCCGTTGTGGCGCGAAGCACATGTCGAAGTCAAAATGTACAAAACACCACATGTACGCGCCACTTTTGGAGGTTCAGGTGTCGTTTCGCGTGGCAGGCGCAAGGGATGGGGCACCTTCTCAAAACTAAGCAAAACGTGAGGGTTTTGTAGCATTTTCAACTACAACCACCACTACACCACACCACACTCCAATAAACTACGCTACAACTACAACTACACCTTCACTACATTCCACTACACTACACTCCACTACACTACACTCAATTACATTACACTACACTCCACTACACTACACTCAATTACACTACACTACATTACACTACACTACATTCCACTACACTACACTACACTGCACTGCACTACACTAACTACAGCTACAACTACAACTACATCAATACTACATTTACACTACGCTACACTACACTAATTACATTACATTAAATTGCATTACATTACATTACACTACACTACGCTACACTACACTAGTTACACTACACTACACTACGCTACGCTACACTACAGTCCACTACGCTACACTACACTACACTACGCTACACTACACTACACTGAATGACACTGCACTACATCTACAACTACAACCACAAATGCAACTGCAACTACACTTCATTACACTACACAACACTCATGACATTACACTACACTACACGACATTACACTACATCACACTAACTACAAATACAACTACCTAAGACTACACTACACTACACTAATTACATTACACTACACCCCACTCCACTACACTACACCTCAATACACTACACTTCACTACACTACAGTACACTACACTCAACTACACTCCACTACACTACACCACACGACACTACACTACACCACCCTACACTAACTACAACTACAGCTACAGCTGCAACTACGATACATTACATAATACGACACCACACTACAACTACAACTACAACTACAACTGCACTACACTAATTGCATTACACCACACCACACTACACTACACTATACTACACTAATTGCATTACACTACACCACACCACACCACACTACACTCAATTACACTACACTGCACTACTCTACCCCACATTGCATTACATTACATCTCATTACATTACACTACACTCATTACACCACCACAAATGCAACTGCAACTACACTACTCAAATTACACTACACCACAACTACAGCTCCACTACACTATAACTACAACTACAGCTGCGCTACACCACACTACATCCAGCAGTTGTGGGTGAGGTGACCGACCAGGTGACCACTGCAACCATTGCAGCCACTCCAAAAAACACAGCTCCAACTCCAACCACCTTTCGGTCCATCAGTGGCTTCGCTCTGCCATCCGTGATTCACAACAACCAATCTCTCCTATAGGTCTCCTATTTTTGAAACTTCCGCCACCGCCTTGTGCGGTTCTACTGGAAATTATACATCAAAAGTTTTAATGGCTGTGGCAGGTCAATGTGGTCAATAATTTGCCCCCGCAATATCCCACAATCACGTTAGCAACATCGAATCAAATCACGCGGTCTTTTCCGAGCTGCACAATGACAGTCAACCACGTTTCCCGGCACCAGCATTGCTTGGCAATAATGGCCAGTTCACGAATGAGGAATCGCAAACCCAGGAAGGAAAAGCGCGGCAGCGACACATCCAAGATCAAGACTCGTTGGATGCGTCCTAAAACAGATAGGTCGTGCCCCTCATGCTAGGCTAACGAAGCCAACTAAGCCTGGCTCCTAGCTAGTTCCAACAACATCAAGCTGCCTCAATCCGAAGGGGCACTAATCGAATGCAAATAAATCTTGGACACAAGGACTGGCCATGTGTCTCTGCTGTGGTCTGTCAAGCCACAACGTCTGTAAACAATTGTGTCTCTTCATTCACCAAGGCCAGTTCACTGCTCTCGCTGTTTCCTTTTGAAAGCTGTGCTTTTTCATCATTCCCATCGTTGACATCCGGGGCACCCTCAGGCAATGTCATTGTACAGCAAGCTGCCGCTAGGCAAAGGCTGGCAAAGAGCGGACAGGATACCTGAATGGTTGCAAACCAACGCGGGGACCATAAACAACCCAAAAAAAGCATCAAAAAGCAAGATTGCTTAAATGTCTATATAATGTCTATAGACTATAGACATTATTCTAGATTCAGATTTACATTTTGTGAGCCATTCTGTATCTGATCACTGATCAGGCGCAACAGATCGGAGGCAACACGGGGAACTGTGTATGAGTTTATACAGGTTTAAGGACAAAGGAAAAAGACATGCCCGCTGTGTCAGATGTGGCACCGATGCGGGCCATGTTCCACTTAAGGGAGCAATGATTCCACCCAGACGTAATGTAGGCTCACATGTGGTGAAGGCAACCTTCGAAGCGCGACCAGCAAAGATCTGGGCCAAAGCCACATAGATAGTCGTGATGCCAACGTCCAAGCACAAACGCCCGACCACCGCAAATGATAGCACGAAGGGAGTTCCGGGCTCCCCTGCGCTGCAAAGCATTAAGCATATGCAAGCTGCGAAGAAGCAAAACGCCTGGCACTGTGTGGGTCCCGGAGCTTTGGATTTTCCATGAACATTCTCCCTTTGTACATGCTAACGCGTGGTGGCTTGAAAACTTAGCTAAAGGTTCCTGGGCCACCCTGCGCCCCTCTAGACAGCCGCCTGGACATTGTTCCTTCCGTATTTGTCTGCTGTGAGAGCCAGCAAGTAGCCGAGAATGTCACCACCATGCAAAAGCATACCTTAATTGTTCTCAAAGGCTCGTCAAAGTAAACCCAAAAAATAAGCAAAGACGCGCAGAGATCATGGCAAGGCCAATATGTTCATCTCAAATCCGAGCAGCAGCTCATGTAAATGTCAGGAGAGAGTTGTCCAGCTGAGTAGGTTAGACCGTAGAAGCCGCAGCCACAAGCGAGAAACGCAACAGCCAACGCTGCCTCGGATGGCTTCAAGGTGGGCTACAATCTTCCTGCTACTGCCACTGGCTTTGAAGCATGGAACGTATTGTTCGGACTGAGCACCAAGTTGACACAAATTGCATGTTGTGAGAAACACTTTCGCAATCTTTCCCCAGCATTTTAACTAGTCATAAACACACTGCTGCAGCAGTCATGATGGCTCTTGTGGAACACTCTTTGTACAAAACCTATTGGTTTAAAATGATTTAAAAAAACAAAACCGCAAAATGTTTAGATTAGATTTATATCAACATCCTCTACGACTTCATCGATCACGATGAGTGATCTTCAACTTTGGCTTTGTCAGCCATGGCTACAGTGACTACAGTGACTACAGTGACTACAGTGTGGCTATAGGAAATCATGAGGTCGTTGGTGACGCAACGGTAGGCTATGACTGCGGCTCACGCGACTCACGTGTTTCAAGGCCATCTACTACGCTTCCTCCATTGAGTGAAGTTTGAAGAACAAATCGCTTGCCGGAGCAAGTCCTACGTTGTGAATTTGTAGACTAAGTTCGCAACGAAAATTACGTCTTACCAACAAAGCCAGAACACCATGTTTCTCTTCTCTGCAAAGGTCAGGTTTTTACGTTCGCCGCTTTCAATTTCTGCCACGGAAGGTTTCTGAATGTTGCGGAGCTTTTTGCGGACGGCCACCGGGAGCGACTGCACAATCTTCCAGCAATCAGGAAAACCAACAGCAAGAGCGAAGATTAGGGGTGCGCTGCACCAAAACAGAGCTTCCAACCTCCAGTCCATCGCCAAAGTGAGTCCGCTGCATGACCAAGCCATCAGCATGGTGACAAGACTGTATGTGATGCTGCTCAGGACAAGCGCTTGATTGCCTTGATCTTTGGGAAGCCGCTCTTGTACGTAGATGCACTGAAGAGCTGTGATGTTCATCAAAAGACCATAGATAAACCTGCGCCAAGTGCCAGGATTTCCCTGCGTTTCGCAATGCTTCATTCATGTGCGTTGCTTTCAGTTGGGTCAGGAGTCTTTTCCTTTCTTTGATCAGGAGATTCTGGAAAAGGAATGGAAACCGGAATCTGAGTGGGCTCAATGCTACAAAGATATGGAAGTTTCCCAAAATGGGGGGGTACCCCAAGTCACCATGGGTTTAAATAGTACTGCAAATAAAACTAAATCATGGTCATCCATGACTTGGATGACTTGGGGTACCCCTATGACTTAGGGAACCTCCACTGATCTAATGATCACAGCCATTGAAAGCCTCACCTGATAGCCGTGAAGACAATCAGATTCCCCGCCGTCAAATACGGCAGAGTCACAGTTGCCAGGACAACCACCAAGAGACCAATGATGTGCAGCACAAGGAGCTGCTTCTGGTCAAACACTTCCTCGGAGGTGACCAACATACATTCGGATTCACCTGCCATTAACCTCCCCTTTTGTGGCGGATGATGAAGCCGCAAAATTCACAGAGTTAGTTTCCGGGATAGTGCAACACATCCAGGACTGAAGCCTCGGAAATCATCGAACCAGGATGATTTAGAACACAAAAATCATTGCAATGCATCACGCGGCCTGAGAGAATACAACGTTGTCACAACATACACGAGCATGATATCACCTTCCAACGATGTGACATCGTATCATCCTTCTGCAACTTCACAGCATGCTCCCAACACAACGCCACCATGGCCATGGCAATATGCCGCTGTGGGCCCCACGTCGGTCCCGCATCTGTCACAGTATCTGCAAGGCTGCTGCATCATGCAGCACTTGACAGGACTAGAACATCACTTGCCACATGAAGGGATTCATCATGGCAAGGCACATTCAGAACATGCTCAAAGTTCTCCAAGCGCTGCATTAAGAAACAAGACGACAAGATCGAAGGCATCATGACCCAAACCGTCCTTGTCAGCAGGACCCGGACGCATGGCGTTCTTCACACCTCGAAAAACTTCCTCGCAAGCCACAAAGCCTGTATCATGGGCATGGCAGACACTGCGCAGCTCCACACTGCAGTTGCTGTGATGTTGGGACAGCGTCACAACGACCAACCAGGGCGGACACCGTGCCATCAGCATTGCGACCTCCATCACAACACAACCGGACCGCTCACAATCATAAACACCAGCATCCTGTAGAACAAAGCCATGACAACGAACATGGATGCAGCCGCGGCATCCTTTAGCTGCAACATCTATCAGAAAGTCAGACCGCGCCCCAAACCCACACCACACCATATAAGACCCACGACGAAGAACGTGATTCAAGCAAACACAGCCCCGGCCTTGGAACGCACATACACAAGCATGCGAACAAAGGGCGCACAGCTATTCTACTAAGCCTCTAGGAATAATCCTCATTCAAGTAAGTCCATATAAGTCCTAATACTGCGCACACGGGTACATTGCAAGACCCCGTGAACTGAGCAACTCCAGGTCCGAACACGCTGGCAGCACTATCGTCGAACATAACCTATCTATGTATGTTTGCCTGCATGCATGCACACACACATATATAATAAAATATATATATAATCCCCTGTGTTTGATACCCTGCAGCATTAGCAAAGCATTTTATAGAGAAAATAGGTGCTATAGAATGCATAACCAAGGGTATTTTCTCTATAAAATGTAAAACCCAGGTTTTATATGAAATGACCTTGCTTTATGTAGAAACGGGTAACAAGCCGGTATGTACCACAAATAAGATACAGATACTACACCTAGTTGCAACCCTGCCGCAGCATGTTTCTTGAGCCAGTGCAACACAGTATGGAGGGGTGAAAAGCTAGTGCATACATTACTACTGTGCAACAACACCCCCCGTGCAGTGTAATTACCGCTACGGGAGATGAAGCTGCAAATTAGGCTATGTACAGTCAGTAAGGGATGCCGTTAGTTAACCAATTAGTGAAACAGACAACAAAAACCCCAAACCCGACCATCGCCTATCCTTCGGTAATGCTTTCGTGCTTTCACCTCAGTGTTGCAAAGGTTGACAAACAAGAGCAAAAGTGACAATGCATAACGTTCGGCGCGACTTCAAGTATTAAGGCCAACGGATGCAGTGAACATCAATTCGGTCGAATGCAGCAGTATCAAGTTTTGGGCTCTACCGGGCTTGCGGTCGAACATGCACAGTGGAAAAAGGACTTGGCCCGTTACATAGGCCTGCGTTTCCACGCGGCATCAAAAGTTCTTGTGGACGCCCGGGAGCTTGCCAAAGCAAAGCTTTATGAATTAAAGCAAAATGCTGAATTCGGTTTCGATGTGAACCCGCAGGGAAGCTTTCAGAAATGCTTCAAAGATGCCTTAACTTCGCAAGGCAAGAGCTTCCGCTCTGCGGTTCATGCAACTACCAGCCGTGTGCTATGCAAGAAGGAACCATGGCAAGAATAAGATGAGTGCCAAATGCCTGCTTCAAATTATATACATTCAAAGCATTAATGAAACTTTTGTGAACTTGACTAGGTTGGCAAAAATTCCGACTTAGCACACTTGTGTTGGAAATGATGGTGGAATCGCTCACCCACCTGTGCAAATGAAGCTAATCGCCTAACCGAATTAAATCCGAAAAGGCAACAGCTTCCGCTGTGCGACACCGTGCAATGAGAGGAAAATGCCCCGCCTCAGATGAAGATAAATCCACCAGGCGAGAGGTTCCCCTCCGCGGTGCCTCAGCGATAGCCCGACCAACGTCGATCCCGATATTGATGGCCTTGGTTTCGACGGCGCCACTCTTCCCACTCGTGGTCAGTCCACTGATTGTAGTAGTCATTCCATTCCTGCTGACTGTAGCCATGAGTGGGCCCCTGATGAGAACCGTAGCCAGGACGCGAGGACCTGGTGACATCTGGGTTCTGCTTCTTCGTTGCAGGCAGGGGTCGGCTTCCGCCTTCCGTGTCCTTGGCCTCCGTGAGGGGGCGCAAGATGTCATCGACATAGCTGAGAATGTCGGCATACACATCCTGCTTGGACAACGCAAGGGATTGGAACGTCGTGTTGGCGACGCTCAAGACCTCGAAACGCTCGGCCACCGGAATCAAGGCATAGGCGGCCGCGAACTGGTTGGCTCTGTAAAAGCGGTTCTTGTACCAGATGAGGACATGATCATCCACAATGATCGTCTTCATCTGTTCCTCCTCGTATGCTACCATGCACATACGCGCTTTGTACTGCCGAATCTTTCCAGTTCGGATCTCCTCTCGCGTGCGCTTGATGGAGGGAAGCACCACAGTGCCCAAAACTGTAATCCAATGCATACACCGAGGTGTAAGGTCCTGGACCGCACAATTAAAGGCGTAATGGGCGTCCGTTCCCAGACGCTGTAGCAAGGTCAGTCCAGCTTTTCTCGCCTGTTTCATATATGAACGGGCGTGATTTTTGAGGACTGCCGCAGCAGATCTGATCTGCTTGGCACCTTGGGTGGTGCCTGCTACGTCGTCGTCGCCCAGAAGGTCCAACGTCAGCTCGAAGCCCAGCTTCTCCGCCAACTCTTCCAAGCGAAACACCTGGCACGCACGGCGCATGTCAGACATAGTCGCAAGCGACAAGCCGCATGCAAGGCACACCAACATCCCCTCAGGAAAGATCTTCCTGCACCGGGGGCATGTCAATTCTGGCATAGCCAACATCGAGACATACCGCCAGCGCGTGAGGTTCCCCTCCGCGGAAGGGTCAAATGCCTCCTGATCGAAGCGATCAGAACGGCGTTCCCGCGCGTTGTCCGGGGCGATGTCGAAGCCAGCAGCAGTTGCCGTCGGCTTGCGTGCCACACAAAGGAGATTGGTGAAGTTGAGCGGCCTTTGCTTGAACTTCGGGAGCAACTTATCGACGACAGGATATGGTGTCGGAACTTCCTTGTAAATGAGCGGACGTCGCAAGGTGATGACATCCTTCCACTGATCGTACTCATTCACGAACATGTTCTTCAACACCTCCAGGTCCGAAACCTCGTACCTTTCAAGTTCGTCGTAGTTGGGAGTGCCCTTCCGAGCCTCGTTCTCCTGCCAAGTGAGAGCGTTCTCGGAGGCCTTGTCCCGAAGGTACTTCTTCACGCCGTTGTAGCCATGGTTCGCCCAAAGGTATTGCGACTTCTCGCAATCGAATGCGTAGATGAGGCAATGATTGGGCACCCAGTCCTCAGTGATGAGTGCACCGGCCAAGGTTTCCACCAGGCGAAGACCATAGTGCAGAGCACAATCGGTGTCGATCGCGATGCACAGCGGTCTATTCGTTCTGACGCCTGGATCCTTGCCTTCGATTTCCCAAGGCGCATGGCGGGTCATATAAGCATGACCCTTGCATGAAGTGGCCCCTGGAAAAATCCCCGTGCAAATGATCTGCTGGAGGGAGTCCCATGAAGTGTAATGGTAAATAACCTTAAACTCTTCTGGGACCTCGGCTTCCGCCAGGTGAGGATAAATGGGGACCCTGGGGGTAGAATCCCTTCTTCAAGTCCTCGACCGTGAACTGGTAGTCAAGCGAGATGATTTGCTTAACCAATGGAGCCGTCCCACCTTGTCAATGAGCGACTGGTCATGGCCTTGGCAGGCCTTCACGTGGGTGATGCGGTATGGCATGTCCATGGTTGTCAGTTCCCCGACAATTCCAGCCTGAATACGGCACATGAACCTGTCCTGAGTTCGAAGAATCAGGTACAAGTCCTGTCGCGAAAGCTGAGCACGATGCCGCTTTCGGAGGTACGTGTACATGGACTCAAAGTTCACGTACAGCTCCTCATCAAATTCAGGAGGAATATGGCGATGGTGCGCCTCGAGGAATTTGTGATCATACCCACGGAGAAGCCCGGTCACCCTCTTCGAAAATTTGAAATCATCATGACTGAGTCTTCCAAGGTCCCTCAGGCCCGGCAGGTCGGTACATCGAACGATGAATTCCCTGCGCTCGCCCGTTCCCGGGGAGTAGAAATACCACTTGGGGTATCCCTCTGGTCGCAAGGGCGGTTCAGCCGGAGGCTGAGGTCCACCCGTTCCCGGGGGAGGAGCACTGGCCATAGGCGGCTCCTTCTTGGCCATCTTCGGGGCAGGCTCCGACGAAGACGCAGCAGCAGGCGCCGATGACTTCTGCGGAGGTGCCCTCGGTGAGGTGGTCGTCAACGAAGCAGGCGGTGCCTTAAAGGGCAAAGCTTTGGGCATAGGATGGTCCGCAGCTTCCGCTGGGAGTGCAGGTGGCTCCGGCTTGGGAGACGCAGTTGCACTCTTCGGAGTTGGTGGCGGACTGGGCTTTGGGGACGCCATGGGAGACGTTCCCGTCGCCGTCGAGACCTTTGGGATCTTCGGGACAGGCTTCGGCTGAATCATCGTGGCCTGATCCCTCATCTTGGGTTTGATGAATTGACTGACAGTATCCCCGATCACCTGGGCGATGCCGGTCGAAGATGATGCCGCTTCGGATGAGGAAGCCGCCTTCGACTTGGCCTTCGATACGATCTGGACAGAGGCAGCAGGGTCACCCGCGCGAAGTTTCTCCTCGGCGGTTTTGGGCTCCTCAAAAATCTCCCGTTCCATCTGACGATGCTTCTCCTCATCCGTCAGGTCAAAGCGACGAATGATGATTGTACCATCTTCGGTCTGCTGCATGGATTCCTGCCGAAGTTCAAGCTTGGCAGGGTCACGTGTGACGTCGGTGTCCAAGATGTTCACTACGCCAGAACCATCCAATCTGAAGTCCACAGCATGGATCTTGTTCATCAGATGGGAGCGCAGCTTCCGCTGGCTAAACATTGATGCTGAGCCGCCGACGATGGGTTCTCTGAAGACAATCTCCTCGTCAGCGTCCGGCTCGTCAATGTCGCGCTCGTCGGAAACACCAGGCAACCGATCCAAGAAGGGCTTGAGGATGGCGTCGATGAGCTCACCATCCACCTCCGGCTCTTTGATCTCATGCGGTTCAAAGTGCTCGGGTTCCCCCGGCAGTGCAGCATCCACGGACTCCAAAAGCTGCCAGTTTGATGAAGCCACAGTGGCATCATCCTGCACCGTAGGAGCCTGTGCGACTTGGGCACGTGCGGGGTCAACTTCATTGGGAAGCCGTTGCCCTTTGGGTCGGGTCTCCTTCACATAGATCTCCCAACCGTCCACGTCCATGGAGACCAACACTTCTTCCATCTCTTCCCATTGAGGGTTGTTTTCAGGTTGAGGGTTGGCCAGCGATTCCTCGCGGCGCTTCTTCATCTCAGCCATCTCAATCAATGGCTTGCACGACCGAAGTCGAAAAAGATGATAGCCGAGAGCGCCAGCTTCGGAATAGAAGCGGATGCACTGGAGACGGTTGTGCTCCGAATTCTCCATGTGCTGGCCGTCGTATCGTGTAGTACACTTGATAAGCGACGTGGCATCGAGGACGCAGAGCCCACGTTTCCTCAAAGCCTCAGCTTCGCGAATCATTTGACGGTCAAAATCGGGGTGCAACCCATACCCCCTGCCGTACCATGGCATGATGAGGACGATGTTCCCAACGTCGGCACGTGTCGTCAGCTTAACGAGGTCGTTCAAAGCGGAGAAATGGGTATTGACCCTTTCCTCCATGAGATCGTTTGCTGCGTCACGGCGCTTTTGGGAGTAGCATGCCATCTCCTTGTCAAGCCAATCACAGAGAAGGAAGCCGTAGTTCCCAAAAATATCGTTGCCAGCATAAGAGATGACAATGACAGATGGGCGAGAGGTTCCCCTCCGCTGCAAACATTCAAGAGAGTGCTCGACGCCCTTGATGATGTCAGGCAGCCCACGACCCCATTTGAGATCGTGCCAGACCGTCTTGCGGCCTGGTGGGAGGAGGTCCGGCTTCTCCTTGATGTACTCGCCGATGTTCCTGCGCGTAGAAGCGTAACCGTCGACCATGTCCACAAGTGCCATCGAAGAATCTCCGGCAAAGATGAAGTTGGCCTCAGGTTCCCCTGGGCATACCATGCCTCTCAGCGAGAAGCTTGAAACGCCGTCGAGGAGCTTCGCGTCTTCTGGGCTGACGTCGCGGAGGTAGCCTTTGGCCAACAGCGAATGGTCAGTGTTCCCCATGATGGATGTCAAATCCGAAATCACATCAGCTTCGTTTACCACACGACACTGCGTGACAGAGCCAAAAATGCTCCCAGTCAACGCATACCACGCCTTTCCATTGGGCCCCAGAGTCGAATCATCTTCAGTGGACTCCGGTTCCCCGGGTCGAATGCCAGCAGCATCCGCAGCAGCGGAATAGTCTGCCTCCTCGACCTCTGCTTGTGGAAAGCGACGAAAGTAAGCCATGGTAGATGATGTAGAAAGCGAAACAGCGCAGAGTGCAGTAGAAGTCGTCAGTTCGGGTTTTGAGCTGGTCGCTGCAATGAAAGCTCGATGGATCATGTCCGTCATCTGAAAGGAATACGACTCAGTTTCCTTCAAGTCATGACCTCTGCCTTGAACATGGTTATGACTACCATCACATGACAGTCCATCAAATGCAGTGACAATTGAATCACAATCGGTTTGAATAGCCCATGGTTTCTTTATAGACTCACCTTCTTTGTTGACAATACCAACCATGCATCCATCAAATGTGACTCTAATGAGCTGATGTTTTCCACAAAACTTTTCAACTCGGTCAAACTTCCAGTAGATGCAATGGGCTGGCCATTCAATTGCAATCTTGGGACTCAAATGACGAATAAGATTGAGAAAATCGACCATTGATGACCATATCTTTTCAAAAACATGTCGGTGATATTCAACTTTGAGTTTGGCTGATTCATGTTGCAAGTTCACATATGACCATGTTGTGCCACCAGTGCAGGGAATGCTAATCCAAATTAAAACTGGACAAGGTTGTACAGTTGAACTCTCAATTGCTTGAACAACTTCATTCCGAATGTCCATTCTGTTCGACCTAGATGTAACATCTCTTTCCTCTGTGCATCTGACGACATAACAATCTTTTGAATGCTTCCTTGAACGATCACCAAGCTTTGAATCAGGTCCACAACAAAATTCAATAAGTACCCTGCTATGAGACGCCACTGAAGGGCAAGCAGGTTCCCCTGCGCGTTGCTGAGATCCCGACACTGTTGAAGGTGCAGGTTCCCCTGCGCAGGCTTTCATCTTCTGTGGCTCCTTCCGTGGAAGGGGCTGTGATGAAATACCCATCAATCGCAGAGCTGATTCCCACTTCTCGGAGTTGGTAAAAGGCTTGGTGAGGATGTCTGCCGCTTGAAGCGATGAACCAACATAGACAAGTCTGAAATGTTTTCGTTTGAACTGTTCAGACAACCATGACAAATTCAATCTTTGGGTTTTGTCAGTGTGCCTAAATGACGGTGACCTACCACTCTCAAGGATTCGAATGGTTGCTTGGTTGTCCTCAAGGAAAATGACCTCAAGACTACCGGGTCCTGCCATGTACACACTTTCATCCCCCCGCTTTTCAGATCCCGTGTACTTAAAATCAGTTAATGCAGATCTGATTTCCCGTGACTCAACCCCATAATCAACTTCGTTTGGTCCAGGTATCCTGAAGACAGTTTTCCCCGTCCATTCGAAATCATAGATCATGTCAGCATCAGGAGTCGTCCAGTCCCATGTCAAATCAAATTCAACATCACCAGTTTTGGTTTTCATGATAGTGTACCTTTGCCTTGCCAATCCCTGAAGGTTCACTGGACAATCCGAATCAATTGGGTTATACAGTTTATTTCGGGGTTTGACATGAACTCTGGTAACTTGGTTGGTGAATGGACTGTGCTCCCAATAATCCTCTTTGGGGTTTTTGGCACGAGTTTCCACTCTGCGGGACGGCTTTTGTTGAGTGCTATCTCCCCCCGCGTGACGTATGACTGACCACAGGCAGGAGGAAGGTAATCCAACAGCACGCAACGCAAGGTTTGCCGCCGTGACTTCAGCCTCTGTCGATGACATAGCCGTTGAAGTCTGCTTCTTTGAAAAAGCTGTGAGTGGATAAAACGTGTTTGGTCCTACCAAAGCAAGGAGGCAACCACTTGTAGATCTGTTGTCATGTTCCCCAGCATGATCTGAATCTGCAAACAACCATGTTTTGCAAGCCTCAGGTGGATCCCCAACGAAACCAACCATTGTACGATCAAGGGTTGTGTGTATGTAACACATTAATCGGTGAAGACTCTTGTCGCAATCAGGTGACCATTTTGTAACCCTACTTGCTAAACCCTGAGTAGCACGGAGAAGATCGAACCTAGCCATTCGTGCTGCGAACAGCACCTTCATTAGCACACGTGATGCTATGGGCTGGAGTTCCCCCCGAGCTTCTGCTTCGTCCATTATGGGACGTGCAATTTTGTCATCTTGGAAAGGAGTTGACACTTTCTTGAACTTAACGTTTGGTCCTGCTAGTTCAACGTAGCGGTCAAGACATTGTTGTAAGAATTGTCGCATATCATATTCGACCGTGTTGACATTCTTTGTCATGCACTTGGATTTATGTTGCTCAAGTTCATCAAGAAAAGTAAATCCTTGTGCCCTAGCCGCTTTCTTTGCTCCTGACTTGTCTCTTATCTTCTTAGCAGCTGCCAAAACTTTTGATGGTTCTTTGATGGATTCGTCCACGAAGTAGGTTGATCCCGTCCACCAAAATGGAAGTCCAGTTGGGTTTTGAGATCCCATATCATGAACATACTCTTTGGGTTCATCTTGGGTTTGACAAGGCTCACACACGGTTAGCCGGTGCGTTCCCGCCCGGAAGGATGTATTGTCCTTCGGCTTGTCCTGGAACTTCTTGCGAGGTTGCAGGTGATGATGAACACAAACTCCAAGCTCTGGCATGTGCTCCCAGTAGTCCTTTGTTCGGCGGGCCGGACTGGCTGGCTTACTAGAAGGATCTGGGATGCTAGCATCGAAGACATGAGCAAATGGATGAGCACTTACATCAAGCTTGACATTCTGTTTGAATACATGTTCACATCCAAGGTATCTGCCGGCATCTTCTGGGGTATCCATGTCGATCTGAGAAGAAATCAACTTCCACCCTTCGTCAATGTTTTTGGAAGGTCCTGACATCTTGAAGTCATCAACATATACTCCAAGCAACAACTTCAATTTCGGATGCCAAAACATTGAAGGCCAACATTCAGGATAGAGTGGGTGAAATCCAACTGCATAAAGGGCTTTCTCACAGTGACGTTGCCATAGACCCCCCGAATCAGGGTGACCATACAATGCCAAAATAAGAAGAACAACTGGATCCTTAAACACACCAATCCATTCCTTCGGCCATCGGTTCCTTGGCAATCTGATCCAAGTTAAAATTCCCTGCATCAATGCTTGGGTGTAAGCTTGCTTACCATCACCTTGTGATGTCCGGTTCCCCGGCATGGAGCCATAAGCATCCAATGCTTTTCCTGCCTCCATGTTGGCCGGTGAACTTCCGAGCTCCGCGAACAAAGCAACATCAGCCGCCTCGTCCTTAACGTTGTTTCCTTGGAAAACGGTGCGACCCTTAAACTTGCGCATGGGGTCACCCTGCGGTAGCTCACTTCCCTTCTCGACACAAATCTCGAAGATCTTGCCTACGTGAACTTTGGTCTTGTTCTTAATGGCTTCCCTTGAAACATCATCCCAGTCCCTAACAGTGGAATAATCCCATGCACCCTTACTAGTAAGGTTATTCCATTCCTTGTCAAGTGCAGCTTGGGCAGCCGGAGTGTTGTTGATCTCCTTCTGTCCAACTGGTCTTGCCACGAGAGCATTGGAAAAATGAAAGCACATGAGCTCTGACTGATCCTTAAGCTTGTCTCTGTGGCAATGGTTTCCACCATGCGAGCCCCCCGGATTATAGGTGACGGGCATTGCGGGAATGAAATCTTCTGATGGTTCGTCACTCTTGGATTCTTTGACAGCTGAATTGGCAAAACGTTCTATGACCCTGTTGTACTTACGTTCTTTGGCGACTGCAGCATCATGCTTCTCAGCTGCCTCTTTCAACAAGGCTTCACGCTTGGCCCTTTCTCTAGCCGCTTTAGAGGCCCCCCGCCAAAGGAATGTTGGAATGTCCTTGGGTTTGGAGGAACCTTTATATCGTCTACCCTTAAAACCACTTGCGTCGTAGTACGAAGGGTCATCCTTTGAGATAAATTCTGATTTTCCAGTTTTGGGGTCAATCACTTCGATGTCATCAGACTCAAGTCCAGCTTCACGCATCAATTGTTCAAACTCCTCTTCGCCCTCCACCGGTCCTGGCTCAACAGCTTTCCTTGGGGCAACCAAGTCTTCAATTGTTTGAGCGTCCATCTTCTTTGGATCTGGTGGAGCATCAAGGCTAAGAGAATCGTATAAACCTTCCCTAATGGCCTTATACCTACCTTTCAAAGGGAAAACAAAGGGTCCATCAGGTACAGTGAGTTGATTGACACGAACAACTTGGACAGATTCGTTGAAATCCTTCTCCATAAGGTCCTTCAATGATGCTACAAGAAATTCATTTCTCCAAACGAAACCTGGTTGCATGGCATATCCCAAAAAGACACCCGGATTTGAAGTTGGGTCAAAACGCAAATCTTTCTTGGGTTTAAGTTTCGGCCCAGTCCAGTAGTCAATGCGAGCCCCAAAAGGAATGTTGGGTCCCTTGAACTTTTCCCCAAAACGAAGCTCCCAAGGAGATAAGATTTCAGGGTGGTCCTGGATGTTGTGTGCCATACACCAATGTCGTGCAGCATAACTCCAATAGGAGTGGTGAAGCCCTGCCTGTTCGAGGTTTACTCTAGTCCCTTCAAGCACGGACCTGAGATTCCTCTCGGCGACTGCGTTCGACTTAGAGACATAAGCAACACTAGTATTCTGTCTCCACCCAACTTCCCGACAAGCGAGCTTGATGGATGGTGCAGCATCGGAATAGAACACTCCGACTTCTTCACCAGGTGCAATGAAATGCCTAAAAGCTAAAACACAATCCTTGGCATGACTTCTAGCTGAAGGATAGATCCAACGAAAATTCGTAGCGACATCTTTCATGACCATTGCAACTCTATCACCATCGATTGATTGTTCGTTGGCATCCCTAGTCACGAGATGATCCCCAGTGATGTGATCCCCAAACTTGTTGGATTCCACAGTCAAAGATTCCCCTTTGCTACGTTTGGTAGGTTTGTACATCTTTGCACACTTGCATGTTTCACAAAAAGGATTCTTCGGGGTGTGTGTCATCATGTGCCTAAGGGTCCTGGCCTCATCTCGTAGTGCAGCTTCACCGCGATCAACTGGTTTTGGTTCAGGCAACTGAAGTCGACCGTCAACTGGTTCTTCAGGAGCTTCGGCTTCATCTTCCGAACCTTCGACAACGTCTGGTGTCATGGCTGCTGGCGGCCCGGGTGCAAGTTCACCAGGAAAGAATTCTTCGAGGTCGTCGATAGCTTGTCCGGGAATTTCATCGTCATCAGCGATGGAAGCCTCGTAAGGTACTTCGACCTCCTCGACTTCATCATCGGACTCGGCACCGACGACTGACATGCGAGACCTTCGAACAGGTGAGATGATGGGCTTGCCGTTCCCGGCAGCGGAGTTCCATGAAAACGGAATCCCTACTGCAGCGGGTACCTGGCCATCTCTGGATGGTAGATAAGGAACAAAATCTTTGACTTCAAGTTTGATCTTAGTTCCATCTTTCTTCTTGAAATATGGGCGACTAAAGCTTTTCCAAACAAAATCCCATCCATCTTGAATACATCTCATCCCTACCGATATTACAGCCGGGGTATCAGGAAGAACATATGGATGAACTTCTTTGTCGATGCAATCAATGTGAACAGAAGCTTGTTGGTCAGCTGATTGGGAACCATTTGCAGTGATTAATTCAAGGGGTTCATGAGAGTGATACACGATGTCATCGGGAATCATCTTGCTGCAAACTAAGTCCTGTGCACTACCGGTGTCAGCAATCCATGCTATCTCAGCGGATGCGTTACGCTGCTGGGACGGCATATGTCCTGGCAGGGCATTCAGGTCGGAACGGATGCAGTTGCGACAGCCGATATCACTGTCACATTCAAAGCTGCATTTGCAAAGCTTACCATGCAACTCCCGAAAGACAGCTGATTGCAACATCTGTGCTGCAAGTATTGCATCACTTTCACGTGCTTCGATCGTATCTTTACGAGTACGATCGTCCTTGGTGATGCGAACTGGATTGAAAGTTCGTTGTTTGGCTTGGCACGGATATAAATTACAATTTTGCTCGATGGGAACTTCGAAGATTTCATCGTTGCCCCCAAATGAAACAGTGCGATTGGGTGTAACTGGCATAGCAAAATGCTGGTTGAAACAATGCGGAGAGGCGATGCCTTCCGGCACGCGATGAGTGCTGGTCGAAGGGTTGACGACTGCGACCATCATCAGAGCGCGCATCAGGCATACTGCAGCTGAGCCAGAGGAAGATGGTTTTCCCCCTTTGTCCTTGAGACTCTGAGAGCCTCTCGAGGAATTGGAACCTCGACTCGACGATCTGGAGCGATCGCCCTTCTTCTTTCTGTTCTTCTTCTTCTTTTTCTGGCTCTTTCCACGCTTGTCATCTTTTGTAGATGCAGCTGCAGGCTTTGGTGGGTGTTGGAAAGCACAGTCATTACCTCGTTGACACTTACCTGCCTTCCAAAACTTGCACACCTGGTTCCTAGATCCTGGAGACAATGAACGACCATCGCCCCTTGACTTGGACCTGGACTTGCCTTTCTTACCTCCGCCTTTGCCTTTGTCCGCCTTTTCATGTCGGTATCGGCAATCCTTTCCCCTGGTACACTTGCCAGCCTGGAAGTCGTAGCAAATGCCAGTGGGCTTTCCCGTGGATGTAGGCCTCGTGGGTGCTGGCGTTGCATCTCTTTTGCCTGAAACAGACTTCTTGGTGGCCTGGCGCATCTTCTCAAGACGTCTCCTCTCAAGGTAGTCCCTTGCAGCTTTCATGAGAAAATCATAAGAGCGGTTGGGTTCCCCCTCCGGTGTGCGATCATACACAGCCAGATCATGAGAGAGAGGCTTGAAGTTCTTGATGGCGTTGTGAAAGTAAGCTTGCTTCCACATCATATCAGGCTCGGAAGTCATTCCAGCGATCACAGCGTCCCATCGGGTGATGAAACCTCTGAGATCATCATTGACCAAGGTAACAGCCATGAGGTCCTCAATGTCGTACACTGCACCATGCTTCCTACTTGTACTGAAGTGTTTATGAATCATGAGCAATGCTTGACGTCCCCTAGCTGGTGTCCCTGACTTGGCTTGTTCTTCTTTAAAGATGTCAAGTTGCCGTGCAAAGTCCCCTTCGCAGATGTTGGTGAGCGAAGACATGAGCTTTGCGTCCAGGGTCACGAACTTACCTGAGTCCTTCAAGGCATCGACAGACTGATCTGTCCTGAACACTTCCTCCACCCACTGAAAGGCTAGGTCGGGTTTAGCAGAAGCAGCAATTATGGCATCCCTTACTCGGATTCTCCAATTCCTATAATTTTCGGGTTGAGGGAACTTAGGTACGAGGATCCTATCAGACTCTTTGGCCTTAGTATCACTAGTCCTAGAACGCTCCAAGGCCCTTTTGACCTTTCGTGCAAAGGAACTCTCAGAATCCGAACTTGATGTCGTAGGGGATGTCGATGATGAAGAAGGTGAGGATGAAGGATCTCTTCGCCGTCGTCGTCGCGAGCGGCCACGACTAGTTTTGCGGTCCTTCTTCCTGTCTTTCTTGTCTTTGCGACCTCTCTTGTCGTCATGGTCATCATCACCATCGTCATCTCCTGGAGGTCCACCGCCGGGGAGTCCCGGTGGCTTCAAAGGTTCTGCCTGAAGATGCTCGTCGTCAGCAT